GGTATCTTTTACCCTTAGTCTTCTTTGGCCATACCAATGACTTTGTGAATAGCCAGATCAAACACCTCCACACCACATGGTATCTTTTACCCTTAGTCTTCTTTGGCCATACCAATGACTTTGTGAATAGCCAGATCAAACACCTCCACACCACATGGTATCTTTTACCCTTAGTCTTCTTTGGCCATACCAATGACTTTGTGAATAGCCAGATCAAACACCTCCACACCACATGGTATCTTTTACCCTTAGTCTTCTTTGGCCATACCAATGACTTTGTGAATAGCCAGATCAAACACCTCCACACCACAGTTACAATTAATTCAGTCTTCTAAATTAAAGAAAAATTCCTTTGCTTATACATTTTGACATTAGTTTACCAAAACTTCCAACTTGTATGGGGAAGTCACTTCATGGATAATATAATTACTGTTACCTTGTATAGAGAAGCCACTTCATGGATAATATAATTACTGTTACCTTGTATAGAGAAGCCACTTCATGGATAATATAATTACTGTTACCTTGTATAAGGAAGCCACTTCATGGATAATATAATTACTGTTACCTTGTATAGGGAAGCCACTTCATGGATAATATAATTTCTGTTACCTTGTATAGAGAAGCCACTTCATGGATAATATAATTACCGTTATCTTGTATAGGGAAGCCACTTCATGGATAATATAATTACTGTTACCTTGTATAGAGAAGCCACTTCATGGATAATATAATTTCTGTTACCTTGTATGGAGAAGCCACTTCATGGATAATATAATTACCGTTATCTTGTATAGGGAAGCCACTTCATGGATAATATAAAGACTGTTGTTTAGCATAGTGAAGTCACTTCACAGACAACATAATGATTGTTGTCTTGCATAGAGAAGCCAATTTATGTAACAAAATATATATAACCACTTACAATTCTTTAAGCACAATTAATCAAAAGTTTTACCAAATTCATTTTAATTTCTGTAGGGAAAACATGTTAATTGATAACTAAAACAAAAAACATCAAGACTAACCTGCAGTCATGACGGCTTGTAGGAAACGCTTTTTCCGACTTTGTGGTGATTAAAGTCCCATCAAGATCAAAATCAGCTATCTTACAAGAAGAAAAATAATACATGTGATTTATAAAAAAATATGTTTATGTTTGTAATTAAGCAGAAAGCTACACAATGGGCTATCTGTGCTCTGCCCATCATGGCTATTGAAACCCGGATTCTAGTGTTGTAATTCCGCAGGCATACCGCTGTGCCACTGAGGTGCCGTTTCTTTCTATCTCTACAAAATCCAACTTAGTTCGTGAGTTCGAATCCCTGTCACACCAAACATGCTCGCCTCTGTCAGCCGTGGGGGCGTTATAATGTGATGGTCAATCCCACGTTTCGTTAGTAAAAGAGTAGCCCAAGAGTTGGCAGTGGGTGGTGATGACTAGCTGCCTTCCCTCTAGTCTTACACTGCTAAATTAGGGACGGCTAGCGCAGATAGCCCTGGTGTAGCTTTGCGCGAAATCAGTAACAAACTTAGTTTCTCAAAGGAACATTCAATTTTCAAGTGATGATATTTGTCTTATTAAATAATAAATTTTCAGACAAATCTGGAAAAATAAATAGCTCTACAACATCAACTCCAATTTCAAAATTATCATCGCAGTAGACTGCACACATTGCTAACTGTTGTGCTTCTATCAGTAGTTTCGTCTTTTGTTCCTGAAAAATTTGTAGCTCTTAGCTTTTCATTAATGTTCATCATTAAAGCATGATGCCAGATGCAAAACTTTGTCTAGCGAGAATGGTTGCTTTCTGCTTACCCAACTACAAGAGTATAACATTAATAAGACTTTCTAATTTGTCTACAATTGAATATAGAAGATCATTTTCTACTATGAATGACAGGATCTGTTCTTTCGGTTCAAGCAACTTACCTTCATGACTTTTAATGCACCTGATACAAAATTAAATATACTGTTGCGTCATCGAGTCACATGACTACGGTGACGCAACGTTTCTAGAACTATCATGTACTTTGGCGAATGTTCTAGTTCTTACTAGATATAGGGTAGGCTGGTATATAAAAGAGGGGAATGTAATGTGTGTGTAGATAGTGAGTAATTGATCTGCGGTCAGAGTATTATTGACGTTCGTTGCTATAGCGTTTGTTTAGCGCGATTGTTGAAGTTGGGTGTATCGGTTAAGTTATAAGTTAAGAATAAACCAGTTTTATTAAGTAAAGACTTGTGTCGCTTAAGTTTCTTCGGTACGAAGTTACGGAAAATCAATTAACAACGGAGACGTAACAATACTTCCTGTTTTTCCTTGATTTTTCAAATATAGTTCTTATTTTTGAGATCGTTAGGCCTACATGCATGTTTGTTGAGATCATTTTCGTATACCTATCAGTGAGGTACAAAGGATACTGTGAGTCTTCTACTACGTTAGTTAATATGTAAATCTTTCGAGATTTCTATATCTTTCAATTCAGTTTCGACACAGAAAATCGCTCAAGTAAACACGTCTAAGATTTTCTCATTCTGGATTGGCTTCGAACCTGAATTAACTAATAGGTAATTAACCGTGTTTTCTTGCAGAAAAGATATATCGTGATGTCGCTAAGTATGAAAGCAATCTTTTCTGTGGGTGAATCGAGTAATGGCCTAAAATTCCTCGACCCTTACTCTTGAGTTGTTGTGAATGGTGATCAAGATTTTGTGAAGTGACGTGTCCAGTCTATCTTTGTGTGTGATGTTATTCTGACTTGTAGTATTTAAAGACAGATTCTTCTTTGTTAGCAAATTTTTCATTATTTAAACCTTTAGCACATTTGAAGATTTTGCTGTGATTTTGGTTTAAAGTTTTGAATACAACATAATTTTAACTTTTTTTTTTACCTTAACTCACAGTGCGAGACTTTGTTTTACTTGTACATTTCAGTGCTGTAGTTTAACATGCAAGAGAGAACACACTGGATGGGTGAGAGAAAGAGCTAATAAAGGTTTCACTTCCGTTATCTCTCTCATCAATCCAACAGATTTACCACAGACATCTGACCCTGTTTTGTTTTGTAACTGTAATTGTTGTGTGTTAGTAAAGACTGTGGTAAACTTTCTGCATTTCGACTCTTTTCTTCATGACAAACTTAGTATGTGTTCACAATGATAATCAGACCCACTATCTATAACTTGGAATCATTCAAACCTCTAGTTAGTGGGCCCTAACTGACTGCTCTGCGTGTACCAAGAATACCACGCTAGCAGATCTATCAGTTATGAAATTCGCCATTGAAACTTGTTAATACAAACAAGTGATTCAATGAAAAATAATTGTTGATATACAGAATTAACAGTACCAAAAAGTGTTTTATATGATACAAAGCTGATAATTATTGTATACAGTACACTTTAAAAACGCTTTAATTTCAAATTCCTAAGATTCTCTTTATTATAGGAACAGCTTTCAGAATTTGCAAAAAAAAAGAAGATGTCTTTTAGGAAATTATGAAACCTAACCTTCATATAGAGAGTGACTAGAGTAACAACATACTTTAAATACTTTTTTGCTCTACATAGTAGCATAACCTTCGGTGTATCTTTGCGGTCCATGGCCCACCCAATCAGAGTCTGCATGATGGTTTACACATCCAAATGTCTCCAAGGTAGTTTTTAACTCCATGTAACTCGTTTCCAAGGACTTGTACACCCCTACCTGTCCATCATAACTCTGGATCCACCAGAAATGTCGTTTCTGGCTATTCCACTGATCTACATTTGACTATTGTTTACGTTTCTCATTAGTATTGTTACGACAGCGGAGGTCACGTGACCCTAATAACGCGTCACGCGCTTCTAGAACGTTCATGAAGCCTCGGGAGGTTACTAGATTTCGGTATTCTTGTATATATAAAACCGGTAAAAACTGACGGGAACAATGTAATTGAACTGCGAACAGAGATAGACATATTGTTGAGTCGAGCACGTGAGGCGTTCGTTGTGAATTGTAGCGTTTGTTATAGCGTGATTGTGAAAATTAAGTGTATTGCAAAGTTGTATTCAGAAAGAATAAGCCAGTTTTATTTAAGAAAGGACATGTATCGCTAAAGTTTCTTCGGAAAGAATTTTTACGGAAAATTAACTAACGAACGGAGGCGTAACAGTATGAAACGCAAGTGATGCTATGACACTGTTTGAGTATACAACAACACAAAATAATACCGTAAAAGTTATATTACCTGTAACTGTTGATAATTCATCTCTTACTACGTTAAAATTGAATTATCATGCTTATTCTTGATAAACGTATTTTGACAATGAGATGAACTTCTGAAAAGTACAGCATATATTGGGAAGCAACAAAATAATGCTCATTATTTAAAATGAGGCAAACATTTTAATCGATAAGTGGGATAATAATTAAACATATAAACGAAAAGTTGTAATTCTAGCACCCACTTTCTTCGGTTTTTGTTCATATAAGCAGAATACATATTACATGTGTATAAAGGTAGAGGCTCTTTATACGGTAACCTGTTTGAGGAACAGCTAGCAACAGCGTATCTGTTTTCTATCAAATCTACTACTTGGAGCACTGCAGCTAACCTGATTACATTTTTCAGGTTGAGTAAACTGTCTTTTAACCTGAGGTATTCCCTGATGTGATAATATCGTTTAAATCAAAATTTTAAAACATCTGATAGAAATAGGGCAAAATTCAAGTACAAGCCACACAGAAATACACAGTTTCTTTATTTCTGTATATATATTTGGTAGATTACCATTAAGCTTCAGAAAACACCAGTAACACTAGAGGGCAGTTTTAAACATACCTGATATGTATGTACGACTCCGTTGTTACGTGACAACGGACAATCAACATTGTTATTTTAACTTTAAGGTATAATTTATAATTATATCAGTCGATGGGATGTTTGTTCTCTTTGTGTATTAGCCTTACAATTAAATGATAGAATACTTGGAATCTACCTACAATATCAATTTAATTCGAAAGTATCTACTATTGTTTAAGCATCGAAACTGAGGCCATACTGGAAAAATTGAGGTATCCTAACCCTATCGTACTGTACTGGATACCAAATTTAGTAAGCTTACGATCTATTGCCATTGCTTACCACTAATTTAACTAAAGTTAGATACTAACATCTCAATAAGTGTTCTTATTAGCCATACGTAACTTTGTTGCCAAGTGATACAAGGAAATTTGACACGAGCTAACGAAGTCAATACTAAGTGACCATTTTAAAAAATTAAATGATAATAGGAATTATTATTTTGAAACTTTAAATTAGGCTTACTAACTACATAATACTTTATTATATTTATAAAAAATATAGGGGAAAACTTGCTACCAAAGTATCTTTTTATTCATATTTTGATAGACAGTGTAAGATCAGACATGAATATCAAAATTATGATCATGTATCTGATGAATGGCATATACATTTAAGTAAGCATAGAACATTGTCCTTTTGAAAGAAGTAGGCCTAGACAATCGCCTTTGGTAATTGCTATACGAAACTGACTAATCATTCTAACTGTTAATAATGAGGATATTCTTCTCTATACAGTGTAAACATTAGATTATTAACAGTTGTTAAGTCTGGGAAATATACTGTGGACAGCATTTTCTGAAGTGATTATAATTAAACATAAATTTGAACCACCGTACTGCTGAAGTCATCATCATAAATCTGACAAAGTACCTTTAGTCAGTGCTCTACTTTTGGATGTGTCACTTTAGAGATGAAGAAAAAAACCTAAAACATTTGTGCCTTCTTTTTCCAAAAGGCATTTTAGTAAAATTTCATAACTAGAAAGGTTTAATAATAACCAAAAGATGGCAGTGTATATTGATTTAAAAGTAGAAGGTGGGCCATCTCTAAAAACTCATATATGTTGGCATAAGATACAAACAATTCTTGCTGTTGCATCATATGATCAAGAAAAAGGTGGAACTATAAATTTATATCAAGAGGATGGGTCACCTTTAGTTTCAGACATATATTCTAAACCAGGAGTGCCTGTAACATCAATTTTATGGCACCCAGTTAGAAAAATTCTTGCTATTGGATGGGAAAATGGTGATCTGTGTGTATGGAATGATCACGATCAAGAACAACGTGATGCTGAAACTCAACATAAGAAAGCTGTTGCTGTGATGAAATGGAGTGAAAATGGTACCAGATTGGTTACTGCTGATGCTGTTGGAACTTGCATTGGTTGGAAGGTTGACTCTAGAGGTGAGATTTCTACTGTCTTTCATCATGAGTTGAAAGACTATTTGACAGATATAGTTTTTCAGCAATATCCAGAGGAAAATATTGAACATGAAATAAGTAAGCTTGCTAAAGCTGCTGTAAGTGGAGATGAAAAAGCCTTAAACCTTTTTTCATCTTGGTCTTCACCTCCTATTAAAGAAGGAAAAACTCGTAACAGAATGTCTTTTGCACGAAAAGAGTCTTATGACTTCTTTGTAGGCTCTGTATCAGGAACCATTTACTATGTTACAGAAAATGGCAGCTGTAGTGATGTTTTGCATTGTAACATAGCTATTCGCCAGTTACTGTACTATGATCAGAAGGACATTCTGGTCGTAGTAACTGATAACTTAACACAGTACAAAGTAGGGGAAGAAGGAGCACTCACTGAGCATGCAAGGGTAAAGCTAAGTGGCCGAACATCGGAGATTAGTGTTGCTTGGGTAGATGATGGGCTTCTTGCAATGAGTACTGGGGAACGAGTTCTTCGTTTGTTAAATGTGGACAACAATGATAGTACAGTTTTATCCATGGATAGCCAAAAGGATTTCAAGGAACATACAGAGGTTATAACTTGCATATCGTGTGAAAAAACCAAACAAATTATAGCAGGAGGGACTAGTCATGGAAATATTGTAACGTGGAAATATGCAGGATCATCTAGGGGAGGGGAGACTGCAAATGAAGATATGTGGAAATTCCAAGCAGCTGCATCTGTTCAGGGTGCTGTAAAATCTGTAAAGTGGGGATCAATGAAAAAATTATTGAGTGTGATAACAACAACTGATATTTACATACTCAATCAACAAGAATTATGTTGGAGTCTCAGAGACCAAGTTGCAGCTATTCAGGTATCAGCTCGCGAGCTTTTGATTGAACTTGTAGAGAAAGATTGTCATATTGAACTAAAAACTGATATTCATATAAAATCTGTAATTGTGAGCTGGAGTCATGTAGCAGTTTCAACAGGAAAACGGATACTGTTCTATGAACTGGATGCTGATCAAAAATCTGCAAAATATATAGGAGCATTTGATTCAACATCTCAAGCTTTAACTTTACATGAACAGAGTGCATACATTATAGAAAATGGAAAAGTGGAGGTTAAGACTTTTCAAGGTACAACAAAACAAAGTTTAATTTTTACCGAGGAAGAAGGTATCCCTGTTAGCATAGATTTATGTGGCACTTACCTCGTTGTTGGCACTTCTTCTGGATATGTGAAAATGTGGGATGTTAATCGTAGAGAACCAAGGCCACATGCTGGCCCCAAATCATTAGCATCAGTATTAAAGGATAATGGCCAGATAAGTTCTATAAAATGTAATAGCAAAGGTGACAAAGTAAGCATGATTGTTTGCAGAGCAACTATTAAAGGGAAAATTTTTCCAGATCCTATTTTATATGTTTGGGATTTAGAAAGTGATTCTTTGTTATATTTTGACTTTGCTCATGGAAAAGGAGAAGAGGATGATAACAGTCCTCAGTCTGCTGGAATTAATACGTCTCCCACTCGAAAAGCACATGCAGATATGGCCAAAAGAGTATGTGGACGTTTTCCAACCTCTCATTTTTGGGACTCTGAAGATTCTAGATTCCTTGTTTGTGAAGCTAGCCTGTTACCATTAGGCAACCCCAGCAAAAATGGAAGTAGTTTGTCACAATCTGGCTTATTAAAAAACAATACTCATCAACTTATGACTTGGAAATTGAAGAAAAACCTGAAATTCTAGTTGTTTCAATGTTTGTAACGTCAGAACAAGGACTTTTGATTCAAGACAGTTTTTCTCTAAATTTAAGTCAGCAGTTAATGGGAGTGAGTGTTCCATATTTTTATCTTTTGGAAGAAAGTTCAGAAAATAATGTAACAGATGAGTCTAGTAGTAACATGACTTCACTTGGACAGAGATATCAAAGAGCTGATTTAACTCAAAATCTATCTAAAAAGAAGGAATATTCCAGTTCAATCATAAGACAGTCGATGCGCGACTTTGTTGGTCTAGAAAAAAGTGACAAAGCCACTAAAAAAGCTATTATGACTTTTAGTTTCTTCCTAGCCACTGGAAATATGGATGAAGCATTTAAAGCTATCAAAGTGATAAAAAACGAATCTGTGTGGGAAAACATGGCTTGTATGTGTGTAAAGACTAAACGTTTAGACGTAGCTAGTGTGTGTTTGGGTAAAATGGGCCATGCAAGAGGAGCAAAAGCACTGCGAGAAGCTGTTGTCGAACCAGAGCTTGATGCCCAGGTTGCCATTCTTGCAGTCCATTTAGGAATGCTAGAAGAAGCAGAACATTTGTTAAAATCTTGCAGACGTTATGACTTACTGAGTAAATTGTATCAAGATAGTGGTCAGTGGGGAAAAGCTTTGGAAGTTGCTGAACATAATGACAGGGTGCATCTGAGGACCACCTACTACAATTATGCTCAACATTTGGAAGCTAAAGGTGATATTACAGCAGCTATTCCGCTGTATGAAAAATCAGAAACTCATCACTTTGAAGTACCGAGAATGCTTTTTGAAGAACCTCGAGCTCTTGAAGCCTACATCTTAAAAAGTAAAGACAAAGAACTCGTTAGATGGTGGGCTCAGTACATGGAGAGTATTGGAGAGATGGAGACAGCTCTTCATTTTTATGAAGCTGCACAAGACTATTTGTCACTGGTGAGGGTTTATTGTTACTGTAATAATTTGGAAAAAGCAGCAGAAATAGCTAATGAAACTGGAAATAGAGCAGCATGTTTCCATTTGGGAAGACAGTTTGAAAACCAAGACAACATTAAGGAAGCTGTTAACTTCTTTTCAAGGGCTCGAGCATATAACAATGCCATTCGTATTTGTAAAGAAAATAACTTTGAAGATCATCTTCTGAATTTAGCTTTAATGAGTGGATCTCAAGAAATGGCAGAGGTTGCAAGATATTATGAAGAAAAGCCTGGTCAACAAGATAAAGCAGTGATGCTTTATCATAAAGCAGGTTATGTGACAAAAGCTGTTGAACTTGCTTTTAAAACAAAGGAATTTAATGCTTTACAGTCAATTGCTAGTGATTTGAACTCAAACTCAGATCCCCAGCTCTTACATCAGTGTGCCCAGTTCTTCATGGAAAATGGACAGTATGAGAAAGCTGTTGATCTTCTTGCTATTGGTAGGAAATACTTGGAAGCTTTGGATTTGTGCGTGGAACATAATGTTGCTATCACAGAAGATTTAGCAGAAAAACTTACTATGCCCAAAGAGGAAGGGGACATTCAGTTAAGAACCAGAGTTCTGGAGAAGATAGGAGAATGCTGTATGGTTCAAGAAAATTACCATTTAGCAGCCAAAAAGTTCACTCAGGCAGGTAAAAGAGCTCAGGCAATGAAAGCTTTACTAAAGTCTGGAGATACAGAGAAAATTGTCTTTTTTGCTGGAGTTTCCCGTCAGAAGGAAATTTATGTCATGGCTGCAAATTATCTACAATCTCTTGACTGGAGACAAGATCCAGAAATTATGAAAAACATTATAGGATTTTACACAAAAGGCAAAGCTCTGGATTTACTAGCTGGGTTTTATGATGCTTGTTCTCAAGTAGAAATTGATGAGTACCAGAATTATGAAAAAGCTCTTGGTGCACTCAATGAAGCATATAAATGTTTGACCAAAGCTCAGTCAGGTGGTGCTAATGGTCCCCAAATAGAAGCCAAACTGGCACAGATGAAACTAAGGATGGAACTAGTCAAGAGGTTTGTGCAAGCAAGAAGATTATATAGGGAGAGTCCAGAGGAATCCCTTCAACAGTGTAAAGCCTTACTGGAAGAAGAAGGTATTGAACTGGCCATACGTCGTGGAGATATCTATGGGTATCTTGTGGAACACCTTGCAGAAAAAGGAGATTATAAAACAGCTCATAGTCTTATTGAAGAGATGCAAGTTAACATACCGGGAGTCAATTTACCATACTATATAAGTGTGGAGACCTTGAAGGCTATCTATAAAGCTTTAGACATTCAGCCAGGTGGTTCATCCCATCTTTTTGGGGGAAAACTGAAGAATGGACGTATTGAAAATGGAGCTGCTGAAGTTGAGGAGTCTGAAGAAGAGGTTGAAGAGGATTTTCAAGAAGAGAATGGATATTAATACTCTTTTCTTAACTTTGATAAGAAAATATCATAATAAATTATGGAACTATGTCCATTGTCAGATGATTTTTTTTTCATGATTGAAAAATTAATTATCCAAGGTTAAATCACCTCCAAAAAAATAAAAGGAGTAAAATATGACTAATTCTTTAAAAGGAGTAGAATGCTTGGTTCAGTTACTTAAGACTTAAGATAACACTGGATATATTATTTAAATGTGTAATCAATAACTTATAAAACTCAAATCTTTTGTGCACTTATCTTCTGGCAAAAAATGTTGATAATTGTAATCTAAGTAATGCTGCGAGCTCATTTTATTTAATCATCAGTGTATTAGTATTTACTTTTTTTAAATGTTACTTCTGTAGGATGTTTGTTGTTAATATAAGGTTACTGCACATGTACAATGTAAGATAAATCAGATGTAGATATTTGTTGCATTGCTAACTCAGAAAAGTTTTGACTTGCGTGTAGATAAAAGTTTGTAATAATTAAGTGGCACATTGTTAGAACTGTAAATATTACAGTATTTTTTTTAGATAAATAAAATAAGGAAATACAGTTTGTAGAGACACCATTAAGACTACAAAAGGAAAAAAAAGTATTGACATTCCTAAAACAAGGCTTACACCAAATTACTACATTTTTAAAATTGCTTTTCTGATTAATAGATAGTGAGTTACTAGTCTAGAATCTTGTAATTTTTGGCGTAACAGGTATTGGTTATAATTTATGGAAAAGTTCTATACAGAAAAGCTGTGACACCAGAGTCCTCAAACGAGAGGTATAGTTTATGAAATTTCATTTGGTCACAGTGAATCATATTTGTTTTTTTTAGAATATATTAATTTTCATCAAAGAAGAACTATTATTTGAAGTAATGGTTAGAATGTTTTCTCATTGAATGCAAACCCATTAATTAGTATTTTTTATACCTTCATTGACTGATTAGATCAGGGATTCTGAAACTGTGGTACGTAGAGCTAATGTCGGTGATACATGACACAATTAATATAAAAACTCATAAAATTTCTAATAAGCCCTATCTGAGCTTTCCACGTACATGTACATACTACTCTCCTCACTTATAGACTCACTCTCTACTTACATAGACTCGCCAGTATTTTCTTCCCTTAAACTTGACAAAAATAGTACCACGTATTATTCAATCATGCTAGAAAAAACAATGGGTAAAATGTTAAAAATATGATTGTTTTTGTTACTAGGTTTTTATCTTTTTTTTAATTAGGCCTGGGTTTGTAATTTTAAAAAATTAAACAAAAAAGTGGTACACGAGCCTGAACCATTTAAGAACCATTGGACTAGATTGACTTATAAATTTTTTTACATTAATTTTGAAAAAGTTTTTTTTTTAACTAGACAGAATCATAAAATATGGTTCCATGCAGAAAAAAGATACTAAGAAACTTTATGGTACTATCTACTGAAAAATGTAATTTTAACTATTATTCTGCAACAAAATATTTCAGAAGAAATTAAGTTATAAAATTCATTTAAAGATAAAACTGGTATCAACTGTCAAAGTTTCTACTTTTTGCTTGAAAGAATAAAAATATAAAAATTTGTTACTTTTCCCCATAGAATTTTCTCATATTGTTTTACATTTTCTTGCACTTGTGAAAAAAAAAAGTGTGAATAATTGAATGTTTTAATTGAATTCAAAAATTGTATTATATTTTTGAAAATCCTTTGTATGAATAAGATCTCATTCTGGCTGCCTGCATTACTTCAGATTTGATAGAATGAAACATTTGAACATTAAGTATAGACCTTTTGGTTTTTCTTAACAATGTATAACTGTGATGAACTTTCAGTTTTGTAATTCAAATGAAATGATATGTTCAATGTTAACTTATGGCTGTTATTTAATATATTCTTAATGTAACAGTTAAATTTTGGGTATTTTTCAAATGACGAAAAAATTTCATATGTGTAACAGAATTGAAGGCCTATAATCTGTTTTGGAAGAAAGAACTATAAAAGAATTCATAGTATAATTTAGTTCATGTTACATTTGCTAGAATTATACTAAAGAATGTTGATGTACATAAAACAAAATTGGTGTAGTTTTACAGTTTTGTCATGATGAATGTGTTTCTTATCTTTACATTGTAATTTTTAGAATTATCAAAGTAAATGAATTCTTTAATTTCGGTACTTCTAACAGGATATTAATTTTAAAACATTTCTGGTGTTTTGTTACACAACAGATAGTTTTTTGGTAGGAATAACTATGGCATGTTTGAAAATACAAAAAATTGAAGCACTCATGAAACACAAATGTATATATAACTGTAGGTCTTTTTATGATATTCCAAAACATTAATATTAGGATCTTACATTTTGTGAAAAACTGAATTTCTAAGGATTAGCTGTGGAAATGTTCCATACCTTCACGTCCATTATCCGTAGAGCTGCTGTAGTAAAAACAACCATGGGTCCAATGTTTACAGATGCCGTGAATGTATACAGTTTCAGTAGCTATATAATATAAATAACTATCAAAGTGTATGGGAAGTAGGGTAGATATGGAAATCTTGACTACAATTAAACAGCATCTTTAATTTGTCATATTACACATTTCTCTAATGACTCTCTTTTGCTGCATCTGTAGTGTTACAATTTATCATGTATATTTAAATATACAAAGTAAGCATTTTGGTGTGTGTTTATGTATATATATATATATATATGTATGTATGTTGATTTTTTTGTTAGCACTATGTAGAATGTTTAAAAGACTATAAAACTAGGTATGCTTCTTTCTTATCATTTTGCTACAGGTAGTAAATTGGTTATTAGTTATGATTAATTATATATATGCTTGTTTAATGTTGGAGATGTACTAGGTTTAACTGATACATTTCTGAAGAAGCAAAGACTTTCAGTTACAGAAAATATACAGTTTTGATGTTTGCTTTCTTCATACATAGTCTTCTGCTATAAAGAATGTGGTCACAGTTATCTCTGGCAAGTAGCTAATTGTTCATGTGTCTGTGTCACATACATAATGTTTTGTAGTAATGAATTCTGTCAATTTACAAACAACCTGATATTCGATCTTTATAGAATATAGGATGGACCATTAGAGATGTCTAAAAATATAGATGTGTTAATAAAAATTGATTTGCAAAGTAATTTTATTAAATATCTGCAATCAAGCCAACAACCTGTATACAATACCATTTGTTCCTATTTAACCAAAATGTATTTTGTTCCTACTTGTTGCATGCAGTAACAGAAGCTTCTGTATATGGTTACAGAAAATTTCTTTCTAGTCTGTTTGTTGGCTTTTCTCCCACAGTATTGTCCACATGAATCATTCTTCACAGAATATAATTTAAATAATAGGTTATGAACCTACCTAAACTTTGGGGTGGGGTATTTACATGCTGCAATCTGGGTTTCAGCTTATGTGTAGTAGTTGTTGTTTTAGTAATTTGAATGAAACATATCTCAGCTCTTAATCTTCATGATTTATTGAATACATTGCATTGCATAATTAGGCTAAATTTTTTTTATTTCATTTTTCATTCCTATTGTAAACTGACATTTAATTATTTGAGCCAAAGATTTACCTTTGATTTTTTTTAGTATTACTAAATTGGATTATTCTGCCAGAATTTTAAGATTATTTTATTTGTAGTTATGCTTTATTCCTTTAATAGTAAATTAAGAATAGTGTCCACCCTCATAATTCAGATTGTGTATTTTGCATCCTACAAAGAGTTTTCCATTATATATGTGATGTGTGTATGATTTAGAAGAAGAGTTTTTAATGAAACATTGAATCCAGTTAACCAACATATCAAAGAACGTACGTGGTTTCAAATTACTAACTACTACTACTACCCAACAATAAATGGCATCCAGTGGTGTTTTATATGACTTTAGGTGGTGAAGTTTATCACATTTTATATTGTTCCAAACTACGTATCTCAACTGGTCAGGGCAAGAGTTTTCTTCAAAATATTAGTTAGTATATTTTCAGATGATGAACTCCTGAATGTTAAATTTAGTTGGTCAACTCGGACTATTATAATTGAAGTGTACACCGGTGATTGTATAACAGAAAGTACAGTTATGGTAGTGTTCTTATCCATTGAGCAATTTACACACGGAAAGAATGAATTTCGAATTGGATTGTTTGTTCTTACCTAAATGTATAGATGGAAAATTGGTTGTCTGCACTGTACCCACTGCAAGGATCGAACCCCAATTTAAACGTTGTAAGTCCTTATACTTACTGCTGATGCCTCGGGATGAGGGGTGTGTGTGTGTGTGGTAGAATTGGGATATAAGTAAAAACGTTCTTGTGTGATAAATTTGTGATGGCTTTATTTATGTGTGTATGATCTACGCCTCTATTTTTGTATTTTTTAATGAAATAATTTTAAGATGTGCGTGGACGTTAAGAAAATATTTGATTTAAACATCGTCAAGCAATATCTTGGGAGATCCATGTTCACTTCAGCTAATAATATATTTTTAGTGGCACAATAGCCATATGCGCCCTTTAAAATGTAAGGTAGCACTGTTAATGAATGTATTTGTAAAATCATACATACATATATACACACACGTATAATCCAATGAACTCTGATTTCAGTACAGAAGGTCTCGCTTATCTTTTTTTTTTTAAAAACAAAACAATGTCTCCGGATCAAAGAATCCTTTCGTGATTAGTGCCATGCATACTGAGTTTCTATACTTGCATGTTTGCCGTTTGAATATCATTATTATTGTTTACAATTTGAAGGGAAACATGATTATTAGAGTTGCACTGTTGATTGAATTTTGGCCTTTGTTGAAGTATGTAAGTGTTCAGTTATATTTAAATTATTTTTTTCAATGATCCAGGTAGTGTCAAGTATTCCGATTTTATGTGTTATCGATTAGAAACACACATGTATATATTATACCTTGAAACAAATTTTTATGGGTTATTTCGATTATAATATGATCCGTCCAATGTATACATTCAATAAATAAATTGTTGTGTTTCACTCAAAATCACTTTCTTGTTTGCATATTATTTTGTGATTTTGTTTTTTTTTACTTTTATATTTTATACGATGATTTACAATATTACTGGAATTTTAATAAAACACCTTTAAATTTTATATATAAACTCTTAATGGTCAGGTGGTTAGGGCGCTCGATTCGCAATCTGAAGGTCGCGTGTTCGAATCCCCGTCACATCAAACATGCTCGCCCTTTCAACCGTGGGGGCGTTATGATGTGACGGTCAGTTCCACTATTCGTTGGTAAAAGGGTAAGTCAAGAGTTGGGTGGTGATGACAATTTTCCTTCCCTCTACTCTATCGTTGCTACATTAAGGACGACTAACACAGATAGCCCTCGTGTAGCTTTGCTCGAAATTAAAATAACAAAGAAACAAAAACTTCCAGTCTGCTTTAATACTTTTTTTTTTCACAATTGCTTCTTCTTAAGTACTTCATCCTAAAAGTTTATTTCCCTTCCTTTGCTTCGATCTGTGTACTTACTGCGGTTATGTCGTTATGATAGATTTCAATATTCATATTGTCGTAATCGGACTACTGAGGAATTAATAATGGCTGGAGACGGCTTGAATGGGTAATGAAGAAAAACTTTAATATAAGTTTAACATGACAGCAAATGTACAACGTTTCGACAAGG